CCTGAATCCTAAACCCTACACCCCTAACCCTAAAACCCGAAATCCTAAACCCCAAACCCTACATCATCCCCTTCATCTCTCAGGTGTACCATGTGCAGAAGCGCAGTCCGGACCACAGCGGGGACCCAAGCATTGGATCCTTTTTTTGTCTGTTGGGGCCCCTCTCCCCCCTTTGGGGGTTTAGGGTTTTGGGTTTAGGGTTTAGGGAGTACCCTGGAGCAGAGTCTGGGTTCAAAAGGGTTTAGGGAGTCATATAGAGATTATGTAGGGGCTATATAGGGGACATATAGGGCTTAGAAGGGGAAAAATTCTTGAAAAATCGAATCATCGGATCTCAAAGGATTGACTTTCCGAGGCTCCTGCCACATGGAGGGGCTTCAGATCGGAGATATGGCCGAAGGCCGTATGGGCTGTCAGGCGGGGAAGCAACACTCAAGCTTAGAAGCCCGAAAATCCTACAGTCCACAGCCCCAAATACACAAAAACTAAATCCCAAACACCCTAAACTCAGCAGGTCTAAGCCCCCAAACCCCTAAACCCTAAAATTCTAAACCCCAACACCCCAATCCCAAAACCTCAAAACCCTAAGCCTTAAATCCTAAACCTACAGCCGAGGGCTCGATAAAAAGACTATTAACAATCTAAACCCACTAAACCCCTAAACCCTAAACCTATAGCCGGTGGATCCTGCCCTGGAGCGAGGCAGTGGCAATGCGGCTTCCTGCCCCTGGCCGGTGCGCGCCTCTGGTGGTTTCTACTTACTGTAGGTTTAGGGCATAGGATTCTATGGTTCAGGGTTCTAGCTCCCCTTAAGTAGATAGAATAAGGGGGTATATGGGGATCTTATTATGAATTACCCAAAGCCATATTCTATCTACTTAAGGGGGACTATAGTGCTTTAGGGTTCAGGATCTTAGGGTTCAGGGTTTAGGGCTTCAGGGTTTAGGATTTTAGGGTTTTGGGTTCAGGGTTTAGGGATGCGACCCCGCTACTTGTTCGTTTCCACAGATAGGGGACCATAATGCGCATGGAGACCCACCAAAAATGGTAATGTAGACCCTTGATTAATAAACCCCCTGCCCTTAATAGTGACTATACTAGGGATCCTAATAATTAGGCCCTTAAAAGGAGGGGGATTTTTAATCATGGATCTACATTAGTCCTAACTTTTAGCAACTTCCCGCTTCCTCTGGTTTAGGATTTAGGCTTTAGGGTTTAGGATTTAGGGTTGAGGGTTTAGGATTTAGGGCTTAGGGTTTAGGATTGAGGGTTTGGGGAGTTTCTTCTACAATTACCATTGTTGCCCATCTTTGTCTTCTTGGTATCATTCTTGAAACGATGCTGATACCGAGTCAAGCTAGGGCTTTAATCCCAATTGACGTGCAGTGTTTAATTGGTCATAGGAGATATATGAATATAGAGGATGGACATCGGAATTGCGTCGAGGGCCTTTGATTGGAAATGAGAGCACGCTCACCCAAAACAATAACGTCAACATATAGCCTGGAACTTGGAAAACGCTAACGTGCTCACCAATTTTCCAACGACCAGTAACCCAGACAACAACTTAAACCCGTGCATCAATTACCTGCAGTTTAGTAGTGCCTGGCATGTAGCTTCGTCCTGATACTTGATAGGTGTAAGTCCAGGTATAACCCATCGAACTGTAGGCAAGTGGGGTTACGTGTACCGAAACTTGCCAGGACATTCCCCACATGCACTCGGCAGTGCGTGGTGGTGGTCGGCGGGGAGAACGGCGATGAGGACCATGCAGAAACCCTAAACCTTGGCCCTAGGAGTATTGCCCAACTTCTGTTTGTGTTTAGAAAACGGAAACCGGGCTAACAAGTCAAGAACCTAATCCAAAACCGTACAGGTGGTTTAGTAGGGAATTAGGGAATGTAAGCCCTGTATACTATGCCCCCTTACTCCCTACTCACCTGATTAATCCCCAAACCTTCATTCCTTATTACCTACTGACCCCCAGCAAGAAACAGGACTGGTCAGAGGATGAATCTATGTTGACCCCCAGTAAGACACAGGACTGGTCAGAGGATGAATCTACGTCCTCTTTGGCCCGGCAGTTCAGCACCGTCCTCGTTTTCGACGCGGAAGAAGGCGCCTGGCGACCGACGGATGAGCCTTGGCGGAGTGAAGTTTGGTGATTAGGGTTTAGGGTTTACGGATTCAACGTGTAGGGATTAGGGTTTAGGGGTTACAAGTTTAGGGATTAAAAGTTTAGGGTTTCGGGTTTAGGGATTTGAGTTTAGGATTTGGGGCTTAGGGCTGTGCTTCGGGGGATCCTGTGGAGTGAAGATTCTTCATACTCGTAAGCAGGTATGATAGGGAGATTCTGTCGCGTAATCCTGTCTAATTACACACCTGTAAGCACCAGTCAGGAGAGGATTTCGGTGGGATGCCTGACGTCAATATGTAACCACTATAAAACCCCCAAATATAACCCCTCAACAACCCCGACATTGACCCCTATAACCGTTAAATGAACCCTATTTTACCCCTATATAACCCCCTACATTAGCCCCTATAGGGCCCCCTTTGGACTCCTATGGGAAAGAGAGCAGCCCAAGGCTTTCCCACAGCTACCGACACCGCGCACCGCCATGGCTTTGTGCGTGTCGCCGGGGACTGTGGCCCCGGGCTGAGGGGAGTGGTTTGCAGGTTTAGGATACCTGCAACTCCACTTACCTACGGTTGAGTGTTCATTACTTCTAGTTCATAGCTAGTACTAACCCATAAAACTGTAGGACATTGGGGTTCCAGGTGAGGTCTCCTGCTCAGTTGCATCATCCGCCGGTGCAAGAAGCCACGCGCAACAGCAGATTACACGACATCTTCAACCTGGCTTGCTGTTAAGGAACTTGAGGTTAACTCACTATGTAAGGAAGCCTTTTTGGTATCATGTATCTGTAAAATGGTAACTTCATTTAAGTTACTGTACTTTAGCCCTAGCAACATAACCCTAGACCTCAAACCGCAACCCAGTAGTGCGCCCTCCGAGGCTGGCTATGGCTGGTAGAAGTGCTGGCAGCGTTTGCTCAAAGAGCACGCTGTCGATTCGAATCCGTGAACTTCACGGAACCCCGCTAAACTGGGCTTCCGTCCGTTCCACTTGAAAACCTATAGTTGGGGCAGGGCTAGAGCTCTACATGAGCTATAGTCTAAACTCCTTAGCGGGTGGTTAAATAGAGGATTATACGGGGAAGTAGTATCTGGGCCACTAGGGGGGATATTAGGAGTTTAGACTATGGCTCACATGCCAATTTCTTTCCTGAGAGGCTTTTCTGCACCTTCGACGCAACGAATGGTAGCGTCTCCTGGGTTGTTCTGGACTGGAGAAAAATTCCATAATACATGAAACGTACGGTCATGACATTTGTGTCGGGTCCTATGGCCCCATGCATAACTCCACATGAAGCGTACCCTTGGATCTATGAAGCAAGCAGGCATAGTTCTTTTTATCCTATCCCTTTTCGGAATTCATGTCTAAGTTTATGTTTAAACTTAGGTTGGAGTATAACTCCAGGCAACTATCAAACAGGATCTGCTTACTAAAAGTTTAAGGAGGTTGCAGTTACAGGTCTATCGTGGTCCCACGAATAACCCAGTCTTTCGGTGTGCTCAGGGCACAGGCAGGCAGGCGGCCTGAGCTTGCGGGAACAAAGAGTCGCACACCCTGTGGGTCCAAGTACCTAAATCTTCAGGCTTTAGAAGACTAAAGGTAGGCTTCAGGGTTTAAAACGTTTAGCGAAAGCCACTGAGATTTCAAATATTTGGCACCTATGGCTCTTATAGTATTCTGGGTACTTGGACCTTCAGAGAAAAGGATCCCTTGGCCAAGCCAAAGCTGGCCCCTGGCCTCTGAGCGCCCACCGTTTCGCAGTTTCTCCTGAAACGGCTCTCCAGGTTTATAGTACCCCTTAAGTAATTAAATAGAATATGGCTTTGGGTATATTAAGAAGAAGTTCTCTATGTACCCAATAGTCTATCTACTTAACGGGGGCTAGAGGTGGAGGTACAGGTAAGTGACAGGATCTAGGCCTGAGACCTCCCTAAACCCTAAGCCACAAAAAGTCTAGAAAGTACAGGGATGGCCAAATCTGAGAAACTCTTGTTTCACCTGCGCGATGTCCTGAGGACGTTCGCACAAGCTTAGGGCCAATCTAGGTAGCCCCACATCTCACTTCCTAGCAGGCATCATTGAGAGTTAATCCTATCGCTATATGGAGGCATGTGGCCGCATCTGAGATGTGGTAGTTTCCGAAAATTGGGGGGGACCCCAATGTAGACTCCCAAAAAAATATTCCTTATTATGGGAACCCCCAAAATTTGATTCAGTAGCTCTGGTGGGGCTACTCGCGGGTACCAAGCCCCCTCTGCTTCGCTGTTCCCCCAGTAGAGGTCGAGTCTCGCAATGCTTGCAGCTTGCGTTGTTGCAGTCTGATATGGAACGGGAGGACCTTGCGCGACTTACTGCCAGTACTTCAGTACTTCTAGTATGTTACTCCATTTGTAACCTTTTTTGAGGCTCAGTCCGCGGGCGATATGCAGGCCTTGGAGCAGGGACCGGGGGAAGAGCGAGTGGCGCCGATGGTGGCGCGCACTCAAGATCTTCGTGGCAGGGGGAGTTTGCTAGGTCAATGCTTTTTTTTTGGCAAAGACAATCTTTGCAAACCAGGGAGTACACCGGAAGCAAAAAAGTGGATGACGGAGCCACCAGATGCAAGCCTGTTGAAGTCGCTGAAGTACAGGCGACATAAGATAACAGCAATAGCAATAGCAATGGCAACGGTAATGGTAGATAGTAATGGTAATGATTAGATATTAAGTCGTAATTAGTAAAAGTAATAGCTTGCCGCAGCCAACTCCAGCCTGCTTGCCTTGGGCTTTTTCCAAGCATCACACATCCACAGAGTTCTATAGTAGATCTAGCTCTCATCAGTAAAGGCATAGGCAGTTTAGGGTTTATAGGGTTTAGGGTTTAGGGAGGGGCTGAGGTAGGCCCAAGGCAGATCATCCATGCTGGCCTGCCCTGCCCGGACAGCCCGGGCGCCCGCGCCTGTTGCGGGCCTTTTCCCTGCGGCCCGGGGCGCGCGGATTGGCCCGCGCGGCGTGAATGCAGGACCTTACCATTACTATCGCTGCGGCTGTTGCTAGTGCTATTGCTATTGCTGTTGCTACTGTGACCATCATTAAAGGTAATTACTGTTGTTGCTATTACCTTTGAGTTTGTATTCTGTGCTTTCAAGCCATCTCCCTGTTTGTCTTTGGTTTTCTCACCACCGCGACTCTGCCAGTGCTGTTGTCCCAACAGCGCAAGAAGACTGGCAAGGAAGTAAGCATGAAAACCAAACGAGTTTCTTGGATTCTTCCTCTCTGAAGCCTTTCCCTGAAGATATTTAATCACTTCTCCTAAGAGACACCCTAAGCCCTAAACCCCAAACCCTAAGCCCTGAACCCTAAACCCTGAACCCCAAACCCTAAGCCCTAAACCCTAAACCATATAAAACATGCTCTGTGTAAGCACCTGTTGGACCAGGCCTAGCCCTGCCCTGCGCTGCTCTCGCTGGCGCGGTTGCTAGCCGAGGCCATTTCACAAGGAAGACCAAAAATAGACTAGGGTTTGGGGCTTAGGGAAGTTTAGTTTAGGGACCCCTGCCCTGAAGAGGAGATGTATATGGGGTTTGTAGGGGAATGGGATTTGAAAATTACTTGGGATTTAAGGGTCCCCTCCCCCCGGCATTATTGGAGGGGCGGTGAAAGTGATTTAGGAACCCCCCGGTGCTCAGTAGAGAATGGAACATCAAATGGAAGCACGCTCGCTTGGGTTGAGGGTTGAGGGTGCTTATGGAATGGTGGAACTACAGGTTATGAGGACGAATATAGGAGATTGCTTTGGGGTGGCTATGGGGATCCGAACAGGAAGAGCAGGGAAAGGAGGGAGAGGCAGAACCGTGCTTTTGGTGTTCGCAGGTGGTATAGGTGGCATAGACAGGCTGAGGTGGTTTTTGCTGCGGGGATGGTAGTTGTAATGCAAGGTTGTCACGCCAACCCTACTATTATTACTGTCACGCCAAACCTATTATCATTAATCTTACCCTTACTATCATTATTACCATTACTCTTTCCATTACTGCTACTATAAACCCCGAGCCTCTTCTGCCCAAGCAAAGGTAGACCATCTTGCCGGGCCGTTGCGCGTAGAGCAACAGTGGTCTCGCCGCCGGGTTGCATGCGCGGTGACTGCAGTACCATAGTACCATGCAAATACGCAATCATCCGTCCAAGGGAACGGAACGCAGAAGAAACCAGACTCAGAAGGACAGTAGTAACACACGATGTCCCAGACCAAGTAGCATGCGAATTGCAACATCTTTTCCCAAGGCCTTTCAATGCATCGGAAGCCGAGGCTGGAGAGAAAAGGCCGGAAACACTTCAAAAGGCTGCAAGCGCACCCGACTGCTCAGGCCAAGGAGAAGGAGCCAGAGAAGCCAACTTCAAGCGAGACTGAGAAGAAGAAGAAGGACGAGAAACCAAAGCTCACCCTGACCTGGGACAATGTCCAGGAGGCTTAGGGTTTTGGGGTTTAGGGTTTGGGGCAGTTTCGGGTTCAGGATTTGGGTTCAATTTGCCAGTAGTGCCTTACAACTGCTTGCTTCCACACTTGTTGATTGCCATCCTCCCCCGTGTTTCGCTGTAAGGATGATATCACCCATGCCTTCCACGGCAGGTTGTCAACATTGTGGTCCGTTTGCAGGTCCCCATTGTGTGACCGCCTCTCATATTTATTCATATTTAGGGCACCCAAAAAATCATAACGTTGACAAGCTGTCATATACCCTATACTGTACCCTAAACCCTAAATCCTAGCATTGTCGTCCCATGCCCTGACAATGAGCCAGGTGTTGGATGAGCTGCGACCGTACCTGAAGAGCGACGGCGGGGACTGCAAGATCTCTGAAATCCAGGCGCTTGTTTATGGTTTATGGTTTAGGGTGTAGGATCCAGGGTTTAGGAGCATGAAATTCGATGGCACTCTCCTCAGCATCCCGCTGCCGCATTTCAGCGCGTTCTACTGAGCCTACCGCCAGCAAAGCCTGCAGAACACCATTGCCATAAGGATTATAATCTTCCTGGGTTTAACTTACACTACTCACATGGGGGTTTCCCAACATTGGGGGCATCTTTAAGGGCTTTGTAGGGGTTATATCGAGTTGATATAGGGATGTATAGGGATTAGGGCAACGGTTTAGGATTTCCCAAAATTTGGGTTTCGGTTCTGGGTGTCCCTATCATGATTGCGGCATTTTGGGGTCGATATTCCGGTCCCCCTCTGTAGGGAAACTGCCATGTCCCCATAAAGCCCCTACTAACTAACAAAATACCTATAAAACTCCATACTAAGTTTCAAAATACCTATCGAACCTTCATGCCTTCCAAACATATCTACAAAATCCAATTCTAAAAAGACTTCGAAAACCAAAGATAATAAACTCCCCAAATACCCGAGCATTATAGTTTGGAGTCCCTACCGGGGTCTACCATATCCTTTTTCATTCAACAATACACCAGAAAACCTCGTCCAGGATCCCTAAACCCTATTCCCTAAGCCTAAAAACCTTGTTCAGGATTCAGTCGTCAAGCTGGAGCTGATCGGGGCTTGTAGCAGCTGCTCGGCCTCTTCGGTGACCATGAAGATGGGCATCGAGACTCCCGGCTTGCGGTTTAAGGCTGGAGGTTTAAGGTTTGGGGTTCAGGGCTTAATGTTTGGGGCTTAAGGTTTGGGGTTTAGGGTTTGGGGCTTAAGGTTTGGGGTTTAGGGTTTAGAGGGTTTAGGGACTTTTGAGTGGTGCTTCTTGAGGTGATGGTGCTCCTGTATATCCCAGCTATATAAGATCATGGCATGAGGTGGACCACCCGCCCGGTAATAGTGACTATAAGAGATAATAAGGATTATATGAGGGTCCTCTGATATTTCTATTATACCACTATTGCAGGGTGGGGGCCTCCTAAAGTGTTCTTAACCTTGGTGTTGCTCTGATGCTCGTTATGATGGTCCCCTTGCTCACCCCTCGAGCACCAAGGAAAACGTTGAAGGACGGACGGGACACATGCACATGCGAGGTCAGCAGCTTTGTAGGTACGGCAGATGGGAGCCGCTGATGTTTAAACGTAGTTGGCAACTAGTCTGTAGGGATTTCAAGGATTTAGGGTCAAGGGGGTTGCATAGGGACAGGAAAAATTGGATCAACATCACCATTTTCATCATGACTGTTGTTAACCTGCGTCGTCGCCATTGCAGGAGTCACCGCCATCATGGTTGTCGTCATCAATAAACCTTCTCACCTCACGAGAAAATGAAAAAGCCCAATACCTGTAGTGGTAAATATTTGCGGGGGAGGAGGGTAGTTGGGAGAGGAAGAGTGTTGTCTTTGCTAGATTCATCCCCTACTTTACCAAGGTCGCTGGTCTCTTTCAAGTTAAGTGGGTCTCTGTTTTCGAGGAGCTGGTAGGGCTTATCCCTGGGAGTCGGTAAAGAAGCCAAACATGAAACCCATGACTGATAATAATGATAGTACTCATAATAGCATAGGGTTTCAGGTTTAGGGTTTAGGGTAATACCAGTTTTGTTTCAAGAAAGGGTCCCTCTACATCCCAGACCCCAAAGCTTGAATCCTCCAAATGGGTCCAGGAGCGAATCCCCGAGATCACGGAAGTGGTGGCCATCGACCAAGAGCAGGTCCCAAAAACAGAAACGACTTATCGAACACTGTGTAGCAATGTAGAAGGCTAAATGTCAGCAGTAATAATTGCACTGTAAATGCTTAAAGAGGACTTACTCCCAATAACTTTCCTACTACTTGGACCCCAAAAGTTGGTAAAATAATGGCCCAGAACCCCTGAAAACAGTCCAAAGGGCTGTTATTTTACATGCTTTCGTGGTTTAGGTGGTAGTTTTCATTCTCTCGAGGAGCCGTTGACCGAACCAGGCATCGAAGAGGTGGGTGTTTGGAATACCCTGAAGTGCTTCTTTGGCTGTTAGTTGTTGTCATGCTGATCGCATTGCAGAGCCTACCTGGCAGTTATAGAAGTCAAGATAGAGAGACCAAGTGGGTGGTTGTCAAAATTATGGTCCCTTTTGGGGTACCCTAAATATTAGGTGCCGTATTATGATAGGGATCCAAAAAGGGACCATGATTTTGACAACCACCCAAGTGACAGGTCCTGAACGGTATCCGGCCCTTCCTCAGCGTCAGCGGCGGATCCATCGAAATCTTCGAGCTTGTGGACGGTGAAGATGCCAAAGTTGTGCTGAAGATGGTGGGACCACCATTGAAGAGCATGGCTGCACCCCGCCACCACTAAGGTTTAGGGTTGAAGGTTTAGGGCACAGAGATGTGGGAGGAGTGGGTCTTGCAGCTCAGGATGTCCAAGTCTGAATCAAGGTGAACCCCTTCCCAACCCCCACCCTCAACCATTTGTAGAGATAGGAATGTCCCAAATTAGGGGTACCATTTTAGGGGTCCCAGTAATAAGGACTACAATATTTTGGGGTCTATATTGGGGTCCCCTTATTTTGGGAAACTACCAGATAGAGTCTCAAGGCTGTTTACATCCTCCAAAGCCCAAGGTCCGCGTCGAAGTGCAGAACCGAATCAAGCGAAAGTACCCCGCCGTCCAAACTGTGAGCATCGTGGGAGAGGATGGTAAGCCGCCTCAGTCTGCCTAAGAGGCAAAGCAGCTGCGACGGCAGTGCCGATCCTCTTTCTGCCTAGCAGTGAATACTCCGTCTAGTTACTTGCCTGCTTTTGTTATTGCCACAGTAGTTGGTGTTTTTGTTTGTGCCGCTAGCCATCCTAGGTAAATATGCTTCATCACAAATTTCTCGGCATTGATATCTTCAGCAGTGCTTTCCAGCACGATCGTCACAGAAGAACGGCCGCTTGCAGCGTGCTTGTCACAAGTTGAGAACGTTTCTGGGTGGGTGCCCCTCTGTGTCTCACCCAGGTTGGCAGGCTGCATCTGTAAGGGTTTAGGGTCTAGGGATGTTTAGGTTTAATAGTCCCCCCTAAGTAGATAGAATATGGGGGATATGGGGGTATCATTACATTATAGCCAGAGCCCAATTCTATCTACTTAAGGGGGACTATATAATTACGGCATGCAATGGGCAAATCAGTAGCCTTCAGACGGAGAGAGATTTTCTGACCCTCCCTTCGGATGCGGCCGGGAGCCTTTTTCCAAAGCTGGGGGTACCATACCCGTCAACGCAAGGGTGAAAAGGAGCTGCATGCTAACAGCTTCCCAAGCCTGGCTTCGCAGCTGGGCTGCGAGGCTTCACATTAGACTGGGTTGCTGTAAAGGAGCTCAACTTAAACTTTAATACGGAATATAGCAAATACTAGTGTCTCCTTATTATAGTAATGTAATTTAAGTTCCTGAACTTTTAGCAGCAAGCGAGTAGATGGCACACTCCTGGTAGATTGCGCGCCCACTTGCCCAGATGATGCAGCGGAAAGGCAACTGTTACACATCAGTTACAGACCTTCGCCATGACCACGCTAAAGTCTCCAGGACTCTAGATGAGCTACAGTCTAAACACCTCAAAGGGGGTTATACAGATATAGGGGAATAGTATAGGGCCATAGTTTAGACCCCTAAACCCTAAACCCTAAACCGGAATAGTATAGGGCCATAGTTTAGACNNTAGTTTAGACTATGGCTATGGCTCAGTTAGACGCGTTTCTGTTGTAATGACCAGAGCTGCGCATGGTGCAAGCTGAAGAAGTTTCTCAAGATCAAGATGAAGGACGCCGCGCTAGAATCCATGTGTTTGTGGCCAAAACCTAGCGAGTGCCACCATTCGATTTCGTAGGGACATTACAGAGGTATTACCCCCCCCCCCCCCCAATGGAGAATCAATGATGAAAAATAGCATGTCAACTGAAATGGAAACTGCCAGTATACAGAGAAGTTGGGACCTCTGACGTGCAAAGAGACCCTGTGAGGAGTTGGCAAGAAGCGGAAGCCTCAAAGGCAATGTCTTGCACTGGATTGAGCACGGCGAGGGCACTGTCGTCGGGTCTTTTGGGCAAGGCACCACAGTGCCAATACAGCCAAGAGTAACGAAGTCTCGCTCGGGGAAAGCAAAGAGTTGTCAAGATGGTCTTTAAAGGCTCCAGGGAGCTCAGAGGGCATGTGCTTCGCACCCGGAGATTAATGATTGTGGCCGAGGCCTTCTCCACTCATTTGCGGAGTTTGTTGCAAGGAGCCGGCCAAGTACCGCGCGAGCCCTGTCGTCCCAAAGACTCCCACGCTGTGACGTGCTTCCTTTCAGTGAGGTTTGGGGAATGAGGGGTCATATAGGGTATATGTTAGGAATATAGTGGGATAATGGACAATACAATGGAAACTACTATGCAGGGAGCGCCTAAAACATGCTGTAGCATGCTTGCCTCATGGCCTACCCTCGGACATACCAGTATCCTCTATTTCCGTAATTGTTTGATAGTAAACATCATATAATGTAATATCTGTGTATATGTAGTAGGCCTTAGGATTTTAGTGTGGACTGTTACTGGGTGGGGACTGTACCCGAAGTATCGTGCTGCTGACAGCTTGCGCGTCACAGCGCTTTGCCCTAGGCTGTCCGGCCTGCGAAATCCGTAGTTGCTGCGCTGACTGCGTCAAGGTGCTGGCCTGAGCAGAGTTTAGAGCTTAGGGGTGTAAGGGCTTAGGGTTTAAGCGTTTGGGGTTTATTAGGTATAAGGGCTTAGGGTTTACGGATTCATGGTTTTACATACGGGTTCAGGTCAAGGAGCTTGCCTCTCAGAGGGACTGTCGAAAGGCAGGGGCGCAACAAAAGCCGCCCTGGGGGACTCTCGGGGCTATAGTATATTATATGGTGGATATACATAGAAGTTATATTGATATTACCCCCCCATAAAGCAGAATCAAATGGCACAGATCATGGAAAACTGAATTCAGACTGGAAGTCGTAAGGGCCCAAGATCTGAGGAGCACAAGGTGCAGTCTGGCTGCACCGGCAAGCGGCCCCGCACAAAGCGGGTGGCGCCGCTGAACTCCTTCACAGATGACGCCCCTCGGCCCGAAAAGAAGCAGATTTGCATGGCTTAGTGGTAGCTTCCCCATAATCTAGGGGTCCCCCAATGTAGACCCCCAAATAGTATAACCCTTACTATGAGGCCCCCCAAAAAGGTTCCCCTAATTTTGGGAAACCCTCCCCAATTCTTGCTGCCATCAGTCGGTACTGTTTGTCTCTTATTCCATGAGGACAAATTTCTGTTATTTCTACTGCACAGAATTCCAGTATGGGCTATTAGACCCTAAAATTCCATGTTAGGACCCTGATAAGGGTATATTAAGGTACCCTTAAGGTTTAGCAGCCCTGGTGTGCGGCCGGTATTGGGGTAATATTAGGGTTATATTGGCGATATATTGGGATAATGGAAAAACCCTAAACCCTAAACCCTACAATGGGTAAAAGGGGCGAATGAAAAAAAAACTACAATGGAAACACGGAGAGCAAGGTGTTGCTGCGGGACTTTGGCCTTTTAGAGGAGGTCGACAGCGCCGTCGACCGGGCCAATCGCGATTTGAGGATTCGCGATGAGGACGACGGTGTCTTGCAAATGGGCCTCAGGTAGACTTACTGGTGGTTAGTAGGGAATATGGGATTATATTCCATATATAATCCTTATAAAGCTCCTATATAATCCTTGTATAACCCTTATATACCCCCTATATAACCAATATGGGATTATATTCCCTATATAATCCTCATATACTATTTTCCCATATTCCCTACTAACCTCCAGGTAGTGGAGGGAGCCTTGAACCTATGCAATTTAGGGTTTAGGGTTTAAGGTCAAGAGAGGGCCCTGTATTTTCCTTGGAATGTGCAGTGATTGTCGGCCTGCCCTGCGCCACACTTGCTAATCACTGCAGCTTGCTCCTGCAGCAAAAGCCATTCATGGTTAGTTATATATATATATCCCCCCATATAATCCCTATATTATTTTAAATATCCCTTAAATAACCCCTATATAACCCCATATAATCCTTAGATAATCCCTATATAAGTACAGAGGCGGTCGGAATGGCAAGAAAAGCCACCTCATAGCACTACTGCTAGACAAGTTCCTTGAGATGCCATGCAAAGCAGCAATGACAACAATGACAACAACGGTTTAGAGGTTTGGGGATTAGGGGGTTTAGGGGTGTAGGGTTTAGGTGTTTTTATTATTAGTAGTAGTAGTAGTAGTAGTCGTAGTAGTAGTAGTAGTAGTAGTAGTAGAATGCAATACTACTAGTAACTGGCAACTATAGCAATAGTTTTGCAAATACAGTCCCCCTTAAGTAGATAGAATATGGCTTTGGGTATATTATACTAAGAACCCCATATATACACTATATTCTCTCTACCTAAGGGGGCCCCTCAACCCTACACCCTAAACCCTACTTCAGGTGGACTATGTCATAATTCCAGAAACGAACAAACTCCTGCTGTGCACGTGGAGGAACTGCGGCTCTATCAGCCCAGGCCGATACCTTACCTGTAACCGTGTAGGGTTTAGGGTTTGGGGGGCTGTTATTACTACTCAACTGCCTGTAGGTAAAATAACGTAATAGCCCAAGACTCCCCTCCGAAAGGTCAGCAAGGCCATTATTCTGCATACTTTCGGGGTGTAGGTAGACGTTTGTGGAAGGATCTGCTTGAACACTATGGGATGACTTGCAGAGGCCGCTGCAGTTTCAAAACTTTTTCGGAGCAGTCCAAGCTACAGCTCAAGATGAAGTATGGCGTAGGGTTCTGATCGCTCCGGTTTTGGGTTTTGGGGTTGCAGACGAGGCGCCACAAGATGCGCATCGATTTAGCGCGGGCCTGTGCGGCACCGGAGAGACAGACAAGGCAAAGGGAGATGGCTGGGCACATTTTTTCAAATTAGGGGTGCCTGTCTGGGGGTCCCTATGTATAGTAAGGATCAGTGTTCAGGGTTTGGGGTAAACGTCTTCTCTCAATTTATCAGTGCATCATCCTCAAGGGCATTCCCGTTCGGGGATATCTCCAGCTCTACATGATGGGCACCAGAAATGGTGTATATTAGGCAGGTATCCATAGAAGCTTAGGTCAAATTCTGTGAGAGGACCGTAAGCCATGAGATCTCAGTCACAAGCAAATGACTAGTAAGTGCTCACATCAGACGGAAGATGCTGAAGAAATGTGATGTCACAAGGCATCTTATAAGAGCAAAACCTCACGATGGTAGTTTTTCCAAAACTAAAGGACCGGCAACATGGACCCGCATGCACTCACAAAAGGCGCT